GGCAGTAGAATAACTAGACCAACAACAATAATTCCCTCTCCTGCTATTGATAACGGTTGAAAATACTGTTATCTGTGATATGATTTTGACACTAAATGCACCCATTTCTACTTAGAAACTTGCTTGAAGTCATGTTTTTTCTGTTAAGTTGTGTGAATAAGAGAGATAAGGTTGAACTTGATGATTTTATGACTAAATTCTCTTGTTTTTGCAGAAAATGAGATAACATGGAAGTAGAGGTGAAGTGCCAAGGAGATGGAGCTCAGAAAGATCTGAAAAAGCACCAAAAAGTAGGAACGCCCGAAGCTTGAGCGCCCTTTTTGGAGCCCCTAGCGCCAAGGCCTACCGCACACAGCCTGGAAACTCTTTTTAGGGCGTTGAGAACCACTTTTCCTGAACCGCGCCTGCTTGCCCTCCGAGTGAAGTTGAGTACTAGTTTTAGTATCGCAGAACGTCCTGGCGCCCTAAGTGGGGCTCTGAGCACCAATGAGATGGGCCTGGGCTTTGTTTCTGTTGTGATTCCACTCTATTTAAAGGATCCAGGTGCCCTAGGTTTTGTTTCTTTGACAGAGGACGCGCAACAACACACTCTTCACTCTTTAAAGGCGGATTTGGATGTGGGAGCCTCCATATTCAACTTTTAGGGTTTTTCTATCTCATTCTTCTCCATTGTACATCTAGTTTCACCATGACAATGAGGAACTAACTTCTATTTGTTGTTGGGGGATGATGTAACCTTGTGAACTCTCATGTATTTAAATTGATTCTTAATAATTTATGCTTCTTTCATTAACTGTTAGGGTAATTGTTCTGTGATCAATGCTTGCTTTGTTTAACTCATTCATAGCATGATGTATGAATTGCATGAGTGCCGGGAGGTTCCTTACAATTCTGGTTCTTGTAGAATTATTCCTAAGAGCAGTATTTCTCAGGGATGGGGGTGTGAATCTTGGTCGTCTTAAGCTCCTAATCTTCAGAATTAATTATTAGGAATGCTAGGAATCGTATGAACTAGTAATTAAGGATATGCTTTCTTCACCAAGGGATCGGGTTTTAAGTGATTTAGTGAGTGATGTTGACTTTAACGAAAGAAGAAGAATTCTTATATACATGAGAGTAAATTGGGTGAAATCTAACCCCAACAACATATTCATCTTATAACATAAACATCATCCGTTCATCGCTGTGCTACTCTTCAATTGATGAAAACTGCATTCATATTTAATTTACTGTATTGCATTCTAAACCAATGATTTCATTCCTTTTAAGCCTTAATTAATCAAGTTATCACATGACTGTCTAGTGCCGAGAGTCTTTTGGGACACGATACTTGGTCTTACCATTTTATATTACTTGTACGATCCGGTACACTTGCCGGTGACTCAACAAGTTTTTGGCGCCATTGTTGGGGACTCACGGTTCAAACTATTCTATTTGTGTGATTCTTGATTAACTTTGACTTTATTTTTTTATTTTAGTCTTGTGTTTTGTTTTGTTTTTATTTTTTTGTGTGCTAATAGTGTTTTCTAGGGTTTTGTGTTTAGTGTATACAGGATGCAATTCGAACAAGAAGTTAACTCAATTCCACCAAGGTAATTTCAACCACGAGCGGTTACCTCATCCAAGCATGGGACAAAGTCAATTCAGGCAAGCTGCCAGACAATTCAATAGACCACCACAACAATAGTAACAATGGCAGCAACAATCCTCTCTTTCAGAAAGAATGGCAAAGCTAGATGACACACTTCAACAGTTGATGCAGATGTCTGTATCACTACAAGAAATAATGGATTTATATACGGAACTTTATATACGGATATAAATCCGTATATAAGGCAGATATTATATACAGAATTTATATGCAGAATTTAAAAAAAAAAGGTTATATGCGGATATTATATACAGTTTTTAGTATACGGATGTTCCTTATATAAATTTCGTATATAAGGTTGGCGTGTGGTGGCGGAAAAATTACCCACGGATGGCATCCGTACATAACGTGTATTATCCGTATGTAGTTAGAACCAAGTGTTGTCTACGGATATTACATACGGATCTGGGAAATAATTATTTTAAAAAAATATATTTCTGATTAAGTGGAAGCTAAGTCTCATTTCTCAACCTCGAGCTTTCCTCTCTTTCTCGAACCCTCGAGATTTCTTCTCTATCGAACCATCACGTTTTCCTTTCTCTTTCGAACCATCTTCGATCTCAGTTCGTTGTCCTTCTGTCGAGCCATCTTTGGTGTGGGTGTTGCTCTCTCGAGCCCTCTTCGGTGTGGGTGTAGATCGTGCTTTGGTTCTTCCTGGTCTCTCTCTCTGTAATTGTGACCTTCATTAATCCTTCATCAAACACTATGGTTGGGGCTTATTGTTGGGTGGGGTGCTGTAGTTGAGCGTTGAGTAGCTTGATCTGGTAAGTAAACCAAACCCTAATGCTTAGTAAATTTGGTTCTTCTCTGGCCATTCTTGTCATCAAGTGATTATTCTCATCAATCATAGGCTTAATCTAGAACCATCATCTTCATTCGTCGATCCATTATCTTTGTCGCTGGAACCGTAGGAGTCCTTGCCTCCAATCATGGTGTTCCAGTCGTGGTGCCGTTGTGTGGTAATCGTGTTCTCCGTCAACGCCGCCGTGATCTTCCAGTTGTAGAGGAACCCTAGGACTGCTGTTCTCGCACTCTGATTTTGGGTCGCCGTCATTCAGTCTCGGTGAGTCTGTGGTGAGTCCAGAATATTTTTCCTTTAATATATATCTTTATTTGTTCGGTGTGTAGTGGTTTAATTTTGGGTGATTCACAGAGAAGAAGAAGTTCGGATGTCTAAGCATCTTTCAGTGTTCGATGTTGTAGATTTGCTCAATTGGTGATTTTTGTGGAAAGTAAATTTTGTTCATTCCTTAGTGATTTCATTTGTAAAATGAGGAAATCCTAAACCCTTTTGTTCTTTGGTATTTTGGACACAAAATGGGGTGTGGTTTGATTCGTGTGTTGTGGAATACTTTGGTGCATTGTTAGGACATTGAGTGAAAATTTAGAGGCGTGTTAAGGTATGTTTACTTAGTCTTTAAGGACTATAACATATAATTTATATTATTAATTATATATATGTTTTATATGGTTTTCTCTGGTTGAATTTGTGTGTTATAGTATTTCAATGTATTCGAAGGGTAAGATAAGTGGAGGAAGCTTTTGGGATTCAAAAAGGAAATCACCACAAAAGGGTAAGTACTTATTATGTTTTGTATAATGAGTAAATAGCTATTCTATTTAGTTTAATGGTTTTGATATGATTACCATATACACTGTTAATCATTTGATAAACATAAAGTTACACTGTTTTGATATGATTACCATATCTTGGTTTCTTCCAAGATATTATTACTCAATTGTTAAAGCTGAAATAGCAAGTTATGATAGGCAAAAGGAACACAAAATTCACAATCAAGAACATTTGCTAAACATGAAGTAACAGAGATTGGGAATATCAACAATGTACCTCCAATAATAATGTTGAGCTCCAATAAATGTCACTGCAATAATAATAAAAAAAAATATATATTTGGGCCAAACGAGAAAGCTAATAAAAGTTAATGATTCAACGAAAATCTATACTAAAGAGTGACAAAATTATAAAATTAACTCTACTTGGATGCATAGGAAGAAACGATCCAAAACTCTTAGGGCATTGGGTTACTTCCACACCAATCAAATAGAATAAATATCTGCAAAAGTAATAAGACTCATTTGTAATTCATCACCAGAAATTCATTGCAATTCTGAGAAAATAATTCTAGTTCTTATTTGTTTCCGTTTTGGATCACCAAGGAAAATACAGTTTTTTTCCCAGGATGAGAGTTAATTTTGTTTTTCTCTAAATAGATTGTGTGAGTAGATTCCTTTAGTTCCCTTGATTTGAAGTCAAGTGAGCTTTATAAGGTTATTAGTCTGACTTATTGTTTCAATTCCGAGAGTTTTATTGGAAAGCCAGAAAGAATGTGACTTCATCTGCTGTTGATGTTTTTGGTTTGTTTTTGGAGTATAATATTGGTTTTGGTTTACTTGTACAAATTTTTATCTCTGATTGTACTACTTCTAAATTTTATTTTCTTCTATTGTATAAAAATATATATTATGTTCAAGCATATGGCATCAGGTGGTTCTGGCCCTCCTCTTCCACCTTTTGGAAAATCTGATAAGGGGAAGGGGAAGAAATCTTATGTAGTCAAGTTGATGACACATTTCAATAATGAAATTGGTTCAAGCAGTCAGCCAACTACACCTACCTCTACCTCCACTGGTAGCTTTGTTCCACCTCTATTAGAAGTTCCTGGCTTGACTTCCACTCTACATCAAGTTCCTACATCTACAGCTACGTCCATTGATACATCTCTTCCACCTCCATTACAAGTGCCTGGCTTGACACCCACTCCATACCAAGTGCCTACTGATTGAATGGCTTCACTCTCTCCTAATGTTGGTTCTAACCCATCAACTCCCACAAATATTGCACCATCACCTGGTATAGAGGATGCAGATCCACATTCCAGTTCAGCCGCCAATTACGTGGAAGAATGTTCCAATAGTCGTCCAATGATTACACCCGTTGGAGGAGGGTAAGAAAAAAATTAACTCAATTAATATATAGACAATTCATTGTTGTATTATTCTAATGTTTGAGTTTAATTTTTGTTTAGGTTTTTGTCCTACAAAAATTGCATCGAAGGCAATCACAGCCACCATCAAACAATAGTTTGATGAGCCATGGCTAACATGGGGACAAATCCTTAAGTCAGCCAGAGATGTTTTCTTCAACCGTTTTAAGGTACATTGAGCAACTATTCTCTGTATGTGTAAATCAAACCTATTATTCATGTGTATAAAAATCAATAAATATAACTAAGATTAATTAATGAATGTTTTAAGTTTCTACATCAATCAGATGAAAAGATAATAGAATATAAACATGCATGGAGACATATTAGAAATGATATCTTCAACATATTTTTATCTTCTAAATGACAAAAAACTGCATACAAAATAAACAACACACTGATTTACCTTGTTTGGCATCTGGAAGACGACCTTTTGCTGGAGATTCCAATGAATCCTAGTAAAGAAAGTAGCATATTGTACAGTAAATAGAAAATTAAAACAGAAAATCGAAACACATGCATGAGACTAAACAAAGTTGGTGAATTATATATATACTTTTCTTCCTGGAACAAAGTCAATAGTTGGTCCCCTGGTGATCTCTACTGCAACAACACCAGCTAGCTGAAATACAAAATAATCCAATGCATGCAAGTTAATTAATTTGTTACATGTGAGAACTTACAAAATTCTTATGATTTTTGACTTAACTAATATTAATGTGTTACAAATTTGCTTTAAAAATGTGCTTTTTATGAGTGAAACTACATGCCAAAACTAAAATTATAACCTGGTAAAGGTCAGCATATGAAACTTTTGGATGTTTGGCCTTCACGTCCTCTGTTGTACAAAGAAACCAAAAGGCAATGAGAACTATAAAGTGATAGAAAAAGAAAAAAACTAATTTAGATGACTCACCACAGAACAGAACTGTTGTTTCCAGCCTCTTGTTTGCTGCGTGATTCAACTCTCGTGCATTACTTTGCCGTAGCTAGAGAAAAAGAATTGTTTGGTTTCCTTCACAACCATAACATTCATTTCTAACAACCAATAAGATTAATTTCCTGAATTAGAAAATGTTAGTAATACACTTTTATACTTTGAACTTGTTTATTTATTGATTTTAAAATATAAAACTTTTTCAACGTTTAAGATTTCAACACTCCTACTTATTCAACTTTTGCATTATTTTTCTAATATAATAGAAAAAGGTTTCATGGATGCCTAAAGATGAGGAAAAGGTAAAAAAAAAATTTCACACCAAGGCATCTCATAGACTCTTAAAGATGTATAAAAAAGCTAGAACTCAAGGGAAAAAACCTGATTGGTTGGGGGATGATACTTGGAATGGTCTTCTGGAAAAGTGGAACATGCCACTTTATAGACAAATGTGTGAAACGACAAAGAAAAACCGGACATCTGAAAAGGGTGGTTGTTTGCACACTAGAGGATCTATTAGCGTGCATGAGCTTGCTATTCGTTTGGTATGTAACTTGTACATTTTTTTTCTTAAATTGGTAATCATATATAAAAATATTTATTAACAACTCATTTTGTTTGCAGTCACAGGAGCTTAGTCAGTCTGTGCATGTTGATGAAATATTTCAGCAGACACATATTCGTCAATCAACAGGGAATTTGTGGACGAAAGGTCTAGGCGGACCCATGTAAGTTTGTACAAACTTTATCACATTATACATTGTCGGTTTTTAAACCTTACGTTTAATGATAATATTTATTCATTTCACAGGAACAATTTGTTGCAAAATTTTCTCAAATAAGATCTGAGACGACATCTGTTGGTGTCTCAGCATGTAGTCCTCGAGACCCTGCGGAGGAGGAAAGATTGAGAAACCGATGTTGGTTAGAGGCTGCTAGTGGAAAATAAAAGGGACGTGTATACGAAATTGGAAATGTCAGTTTCCAAGATGAATGTGTCGATAGTTACATCCAACAGACACAAGCATCTTCTTCTACTTAGCAACAAAATTCAGAAGAAATTGTTAACCTTAAATCATAGTTACAACAATATGGTCAGCAACTTCAAAAGTTTGAAGGCTTTATTGGCATCCTCCTGCCATTCCTTCCGCCTTCGACAGCCGCAACTGTACAAGACTTTTTAAACCTCCAAAGTCCTCAAGTTCAAAATGAAGCACTTAATGATGTCCAACCAGAATAACAACCTCCAGACCAACAACCACCACACCTGCAACCACCAGATCAACAACCACAAGATGGAAATGTTTATATGCATTATTAGGCATTTTATAGAACTTATTTCCGTTACTGTTGAACTTATTTAGAACCATTACCAGAACCAGTTTATGAACTTACATAATGTTTAATCTTGCACTTATATTGATGTAACATGTACAATGTTTCCTTTGTGGTTTAAGTGTATGTGAAAATCTTATTGGTTTTATATGTTATTGTGCAATGTATAATGTCCAGGCCTGTTTATATGAATTGTGAATGTTCACTATAATGTCCAGGTCTCCGTGTATGAATTGTGCATGGGGAACTGCTATACAGATTTATTAAGCTCTTTTAAACCCATTATATACGAATATATCCGTATATAGGTTATATACAAATATATCCATATATAAAGGTATGTTGAAAATAGAATGGCTTAGTTTCAATACCAAGAGGGAGGGGGGTGAATTGGTGAAACACAAAAGTAATGTTTTCTTTAAATCTTTTTCGCAAAGTAGATGCCTTTAAAAGCTTTCTTGAATTGCAAGGAAAAAGACTTTGTAGTGCAGCGGAATATAAATGAATGAGTAAAATACAAAGTCGACTGAATGTAACAAAGTAGGGATAGAAAGATCAAACTTTGAGTTTTTATACTGGTTCGGCCAAGCCTACATCCAGTGTCCTTCCACCACAGGAAGCAAATGCACTATAATGATCAAGGTTTTTACAACAAGGTTTTTATAGCGACATTCACGTCAAAAATATAAAACACCTCTCTAACCCTCTAATCAAAATATAGGCATATACAAACAAAGAACAAGAACAAGATGTCCCCTCTCCTGCAGTCTTTAACACTTTGAACAATCCTCAAAGTCCAGAACGCCGCACGTTCTCTTCCTGTAATCACAACAGGGCAAACTCCAATCTTCACAAGATTGATAGAAACTGATCACAAAATAGACACCTCAAGTGCAGGTTGATCAGACACCACAGTCTTCTTGATGAATTCTTAGAGCTTTCACACTTTCTGCAAGAGATCAATAATCTGAAAGAAATCAATCAAAACGTTAGAATCACAAAAGTTCTTGCAGAAATCAAATTCGCGTCAATTTATAGCAATTCGCAACTTTGACGCATTTTAATCGACTTTGCTACTAATGCAATCGAATATAACAAAACAGTTATAATAGTTAGCAGTAATCAATGCAGTTAATTGAATGAACAATTAATGCAGTCGAATCACAATAAATGCTTGGACAACATATTTAAAAATATAGCCGTTGTAACATTTAATTCAAGCATTAACAGAATTTCAAAACTGTAACAGACTTAGTCGAATGCAGGTTGCATGTAATTGACTATACAACACAGTTAAACAAAATTTTGAAAAACTTTCTCTTCAAAAATTCTCACAACACACTTTGAAAAAGTATGTGCAAAGCCACGAGTTTTAATCGACTTACTTCATAATGAAGTCGACTTAAAACTGTTGTTTTGCCACATATCATAAGTTCAACAAAAGTGCATGTGATTTTTCTTTTCTCAAATATATGTCATTCATTCACAGATAAGATCTCATGTAAAACACAATGAATTGCAGCAATGACATAATCAACTCAAACATGTTCTCAAATAATCATAAACATGAAATTTATGAATATGTAACATATAAACAACACATAACAACACATAACAACACATGTTATTAATAATGTTGTCATCATCAAAAACCAGAAGTTCTTTGAGATTGTAAGGTTTGGCTAAACTAGTGCTTCCCTTATCAACAATCTCAACAAGGTATATACGGATATATCCGTATATACGTTATATACGGATATATCCGTATATACCTTATATACGGATATATCCGTATATAACCTATATACGAATATATCCGTGTATAACCTATATACGGATATATTCGTGTATAAGTTCCATATATAAATTATATACGGATTTATCCGTATATAATGGTAGCTTTGATAGTATTATATACAGATTTTTGCCCGTGTGTAATCCGTATATAACCAAGTATTATATACGGATTTGGGCGGTATGGAATTCACTTTTTTCTTGTAGTGTATCTCATCGTAAAAACACTGAAGCAGCACTCAGAAGGATGGGGATGCAGATTGGTCACCTAGTTCAGAAGATGGAAGATTTTGGGGGTAATATGAAAGTTAACCCTAGAGAGGAGTGCAAAGTCGTTGTTACTAGAAGTGGCATAATTTTAGATGAGAGAAAAATAGAGAGAAAAGAAGAAGAAAGGTTGAGTGAAAAAGAGAAAGATGTAGAGGAAGAGAAAGAAAAAGAAGAGAAAGAGAGAAAAGAAAAGGAAAAAGAGAGAGTAATAGACAGGAAAGAGAAAGTTGAGTCAAAAGAGAAAGAAGAAAGAAAAAGTGAGGTTGAAAGAAAGAGAGAAAAGAAGAATGTGGAAGAAGAAAGAAAAGAAAAAGAAGAGGTTGAGAGAAAAAAGAAAGAATTATATGAAAAACCCCTTCCTTACCCAAAGAATTATTCTAGGAAGGAGAAGGAAAAACAGTTTGAGCGTTTTAAAGAAATCTTCAAGAAATTGGAGATTAAAATTCTTGTGATTGAGACATTGCAACAGGTTCCTGGTTATGTTAAATTCCTGAAGAAATTCAACAAAAAGAATATCTAGAAAAGGAAACAATTGAGGTACAGGGCAATTACAGTGTGATCTCGCAGAAGGCACTTCTTCCAAAGGTTAAAGATCCGGGAAGTTTCATTATTCCCTGCACTATTGGGAGTCATGAAATAGGGAAAGACCTAATTAATTTAGGGTCCAGTATCAATTTGATGCCCTTATCTGTACTTGAGAAGATTGGTGGTCTTGAAGTCAAGCCTACAAAGATGACTTTGCAAATGGCGGATGGATCCATTAAGAAGCCCTATGGTGTGGTGGAAGATGTAGTGGTTCGAATAGACAACCTTAGATTCCTGGTGGATTTTGTGGTGATGAAGATGGGGGAAGATGTGGAGATCCCTATTATTCTTGGAAGGCCATTCATGAAAACGGCCAAGCTTATCATCAATATTGATGATGGAACTACAACACTCAAAGACCAAGAAGAGGAGGTGATATTCAGCGTCTTCAATGCTGAGCAACAGATCCAAGTGAAGAAGACTAGCCTCAAAGCTACATGTGAAGATGCACCAGGGACTGGTACAAAAGTTGCTAAGCCAGGCAAGAAAGGTAAAAATTGTTTCCTGTCACAAGTGAAGGAAGAATAAAAAGACAGCAAAGGAAAAAGTGTTCATCAAGGCATACCAGTGAGATTCAACAACAAATTTTGGGTTGTGAAAGAAGTTAAAGTTGATGGACTGATAGAGATTGAATCTCCAATTTCAAGAATAGTCAAGAAGGTGAACAGGAAGCTGCTAAAGATAAGTTGGTGTGGAGAAAGACAAGAAAACACCAAGATTAAAGATGTGACAAGAGCTTGATGGTGTCTAGCTAATGACGTTAAAGAAGTGCTTACTGGGAGGCAACCCATTTTCTGATTTTTCTTTTTTATTGATTATTTATGTGGTTTGGATTTGCTTTTTCTTTGTGTGTTTGAGTTTTTTTAGGTTATATGCTGCTTCTGATGGCAGTGATGACAACATCTACTGATGGATGCTAGGAGGACTCAAATAACAACATTTACTGATGGATGATGTTATGATGAGGATGCCGAATGATAGCATCTACTGATGGATGCTGCTACAACATCTACTGATGGATGTTGTTATGATAAGAATGAGGAATAATAACATCTATTGATGGATGCTATGTGATTCAGCATCTACAATTGGATGATATGAGATTAGACATCTACTAATGGGTGTATTGTTAGTGTCTACTGATAGATGCTGGAAGATTCAGATGATAGCGTCATGGATGCTATTTTTCCTCTAGAACAGGATTTCTTTTATTTTTATGTCTATTATTTTTATGTCTATTATTTTTATTGTTTTCATTGTTGAACTATATTTTGCTTATGTTTTTATTGCTTTGTTTTGATTGTATTATAGGTTGATGTACTTGGCTTGAATTAACTGTGCTATAATGGTTTGATTATGATCTGTTGTGTGATAAGTATTGCTTTATGATGCTCTATTATATTGATTGATGTTGAGGTGATGCATGATGTGCTTATATACAGGTGATGGCTCACAGTTTGTCTGAAATAGATGCTTGAGGTAAAATGTGATTGAGATACTGAGCAGGATGTTTATCTAAATTTGGAACTTAAGAGTTAGCCTGTGTGAGGTTTGGGCTTAAGAGTTTTTATGAATAATTTCTATTACTTTGAAAGCATGAATGATTTTACCCAAATTTTCTGTGATTGAACTACTTGCTTGCAGGTTTCATATGATCAAGGCCATCTCTTGTTATCCATTTTTAGCCTTCACATGATTTTAGCCCACTAAAAAGAGAACAATTTGTTCTAACCTTTGAACCTTGAGCCTTAAGCATGTTTTGAAAACCCTTTTTGAAAATCTTTACCTTGAGTTAAGCTGAGAACATTTGTGGGGTATTGATGAAGGTTCAAGTTTGGGGTTATTGGGAAATTTGACAAAAGAAATAAAAAGAAAAAGCATTGGGCTAAGCAGTTAGCAAATGAAAAGCAAAAGCAAAAGAAAGGAAAAATGAAAAGAAAGAAAAGAAAAGCTCTATGCAAGGGAAAGTTGGGAATAAGTGAAGATGGTTCGGGGAAAGAGAGGTTGTGTTTGAATGATGAAATCATATATGTCTCTCTTAACTCAAGGATTTTGTTGTCCATAAAAACCAATTTTCTTCTTAGCCCAGCCAAGCTACAAGCCCAGAAAAGACCTTGTGATGAAAACTTGCTTGTGAGTATGATTGATTATGGTTAAATGAAAGGAAAAGTTAATTTGTGTGACATTGTGATATCAGAGTGAAAGAGACACCATCACCTCACTATACACCTTTGAGTTTGAGTGATACACTTTTGAGTGCTTGAGTGATACACTTTTGAGTGCTTGAGTGAAACACTTTCCTTGGTGAGGAGTAGTTCTTTGAATTCATGATTTCATCTTTGCTTGGTTGATTGATCATTCTTAAGGATAACATCTGTTGAAGTAC